TAAAACTACTGACAGGTTATCTTTAAAGTGATGCTTTAAAGAAAAAGATACCAGAGAAGATGTGTTCTAAATAAACTGATTAGTCCTGTTTGTCTGAGGAAACAGGTAAAACAATTAGAACATTAAAAAAAACAAATGTGGATGTGGCACTTACTATAACCAGATTGGGCTAACCACCTAGCCATTGCGCAGAGAAGCAATATTTTGCCTGCTATCATCTGTAAATGTTCTCTTATGGCATGGACTTCCAAACTTTCTAAACAAAGGGCCAGTTTACTGTCCTTCAGAATTTAGGGGGTCAGGACTGTGGCTATTGGGAGTAGAAAATGGCCTGACGTCAGTTGGAAAAAAACAATGCCCAACTGTTGGTGTCATTGGGAGTAATTGTGCCTCATCATTGATGTCATTGGGCTCCATTCTTGGTGTCATTGTTAGAAATTGTGCCCCATCATTGGTGTCATTGGGAGGATTGTGCCCCATTGTCAGTGTAATTGGGATGAATTCTGCCATTTCATTGGTTTCAGTGGGGGGAATTATGCCCCATTGTTAGTATCAGTGGATGATCTAGTGCCCCAGGGGCTGAATAAAAGCAAGCAAAAGGCCGCATCTGGCCCCTGGGCTGCAGTTTGGAGACCACTGTACTATGATATAATGTAGCAGCCTTAAACAAATTTTGCCAGCTCAAGGGATCCATGTGTAGTGCCCTCTGGTGTACATAGTTTGTAAGTGTTGTTAGAAGCTTGTTAGAAGCCTGGGTGTGAATCAATGAGTTTAGTCAGGCTTGAGGGCTCTACAGGTCAGGCTTCTGGTACCTCTGGTTCTTAAAAGTTTGGAGAAGGTTCTAGAAGCCAGTGGGTGGAGGCCAGAAGGAGCTGATCTGCATATTCATGGGGGTCTGAGCAAACTCAGGCAGGAGGCTTGGGAGTTGGGTGGAAGATGGAGTATTGAGGTGTGCTGCTGTGTAGCCTGGGAGGGGACCCCAGAGAAGAGGGTTCTGCCTCCAGGCTGGAGGAAGGAAGGAAGGAAGGAAGGAAGGAAGGAAGGAAGGAAGGAAGGAAGGAAGGAAAGAATCAAGGTTTTGGTTGAAAGGAAAGAAAGAAAGAAAGAAAGAAAAAGTCACTAAAAGAAAGAAAGAAAGAAAAAGAAAGAAGTGAAAGAGAAAGAAAGAGAAAGAAAGAAAGAAAGAGAAAGAAAGAAAGGGAGCTGACAGAGGGAACTCCGCTGCCTTATGTCCAATGAGGAAGGAAAGCCTGGTAGCCTGGAAGGAAACCAGCCCAGCAAAAGCCTGAAAGTTTTTTTTCAAAGCTACAGGACACGAGGAGAGTGTGAGTACCTCTACACCTCTGGGGCCTACAAGAGAGAGAACTACTAGGTGCTATACTCAACCAGTTTCTCCCTGGAATAGTGCTGCAAGCCTGTACTAGAATCTCTTGCTCCGGGATACTCCTTCAAAAGACAGCCAGATGGATTGGTAGTTTCTAGCTGGAATCTGAAGGGGTTCACTTAGAGAGGACCAAGCTCCTTACAGAGACTGTGTTACTGATGTGTCAAGAGACTGATGCTACTCTGGAGGGAATAGAAAGTTCAGGATCCAACATTTTTGTGCAGAATTTAGAAAAATTTGTTGAGTTATTAGTTTTACATCAAGTTAGGCATCCCATATACCCCTAGACCCTATTCAAATTGTTTATCCCCAAATAAAACAACAAAAACTAACCCATGGACTAGTTACGGGACCCAAAACCAGCAGCTCTCAAGGGGGTAGTGCTACACATGCATAGAACACATGCATAATCCTTACGGAAAGTAGCCTACAATTGTGTGTGTAGGACCTCATAATGACGTAAGGTGTCCATAGACAAAACTGTCCAGTTTGCAGCCTTTACTAAGCTCAGGTCACATCTCATCATCTCAACGGGCACTTTTACACTATAATTAAGGACTCGCTGATACCTTTCCAAGAACTAATGTAGCTCTAAAAATATTTACACATGTCACTAGTTTTTCAGGAGAGAGAGATCAATCAGCAATTTGACACTGATAAAGAACCACGATGACCCATGAAGTTCTCTGTGCCTACTATGTGTAGAGAGCAAAAATGATACAGTAGTTTGAGGAGCTCATTAAAGATTTTGCAGATTTCAAATGCAAAAAGATAAACTTTTTATAGATATTGTAGTATGATGCATATAGCTGGAAGCTGATAAAACTGACTGTCCTTAACTTCGATAAAATGTAAAATGTTTGTACAGTCACAGAGTTTCATTTTATTGTGTAAAATGTTTAGTCAGCTATTGCTATCTATAGAAGGAGTGTGTGGAGCAGGAAGATGTGGTGCTGGAGGAGGAAGGCTGCCAGGAGGCCCAGTTGGATGGGGCCTGCCTGCGAGCCTGGAGTCAGAGAGGAGGAAGGCTCGGGACTCACTGTTCCCCTGAGAAAAGACCACCTGTGTGTCAGGGAAGGAGCAGCCTAGCTGATAAGCCTGGTAGTAGCAGCCATCCCGCAAGCGATACAGGGGAGGATCTGAGTGAGTACACCTGCAACCCCGAGATGGATAGGGGAAAGAGCACTCTAATCTGGGAAACCAGATTAGCCCCCTACTAGTAACTGTTACCCATTTTCACCCTGCTGGGTGAAGAGGCGTACATCTAGGGTCTGGGGTGGTACAACTAGGAGCTGCTGGCTAGCACTCCAACAGAGACTGTAAAAGGGGAAGCTTGTGAATACTTCAGGAAATTGTCCTCAGATTTCAGTTCCCTTGGGCATCCTATACCCCACTTGCCCTATCCACATTCTAATCCCCCCAATAAACAACAAAATCATCGCTCAAGGACAGATTTCTGTCTCCGAATGCAAGCTTGTGTGGAAAATACTGAATGACTGGCTGCAAATTAAGGGAAACCCCAGTGGGACCCAAGTCACCAGAATGGGGGCACAGAAGGCAATAAAACCCCGACCGGTATTCTAAACCCTCTCCACTCCATCCAAAACTAAAAAAAAAAGTTTTGTCTTTAGTTATACTTTAGGCAGCTCATAGATTAGTCATTTTTTTCCAGTTGAACATAAACGACTCAATTCTTCCATTCACACACTTGATGTGGATGGGGAAATCCCCCCACTGAGCTATTGTAAGTCTAACAACAGAGAGACTTCCCCGCCATCAGAATAGTCTGATCAGTGTTGTCGACTTTAGCTGGGGGTGCTGATCAAACGGGGAAAATCCAGCAGGCTGGCTGTACAGAAATCAATTGGTAATGTAAATTAACTTCTGTACAACCAGCCTGCTCATTCATGTATCAAACTTTCGGCTGGTCCCTGCTGAACGGACCAAATTTTGATCAACGTATGGCTGGCTTTACTCTGTCCAATTATTTTTAACCTGAGTTTAGCATTACTTTAAAGGAGAAGTTCGAGGTTCATTAAACAACAACCACCCATACTCACCTCCATGCTGCAACATCAGTCCCCTGCTGCAGCGGCACCCCCACCCCCCACTGTCTCTAATCCTAAGTAATCAAATTACCTTTTATCAGTTCTCAGTCAGCTGTGAGCAGAGAGGGGTGACAATCACCGTCTCTCTGCTCTCCCCCACCAGTGCTCCCTTTGGGGGAGGCAGTAGCAGTGGCTGAGTCAGCTGCTGATCAGGCATCTGGGTGGATTCTGACATTATTGGATTATCCTTCCCGAGTCTGGAGCAGCTCTGTGACATCAGCTGACAGCGGTCTTATCCTACTGTTGGCTGATTCTGGTTCACAGGAGAGCACAAGTAAGTGCATTCCTGTATCACAGTAGAGAAGTATGGCCAAAAAAGCTTTGGCCATGTGGTTTGGGAAAGGCACAGACCATGCTGTACATGAACGTGCTGCCCTTGTGAGATGTGCATGGGTGCCAATTAATTGATAATGGCACCGCAAGCTGCAGCACCAAGCTGTCTTGTGCAGCACAATCTGAATAAGCAATGCTTGCACTACTCTCCATGTTCTGGTATGTTTGGCAATCCATTTATATGAATAGGCCATCAGGTATCCTTTTCTTCCCATGTTAACTGGCCCTATGGGTCATGATACATGTTACAATCTGACTTTAAAGTAGTTGTATAGGATTATTTTATTTAAAAACAAAAACAAAAAACATGTTATACTTACCTTCTCTGTAGATTGGTTTTGCACAGAGCAGCCCTGATCCTCATCTTCTGTGGTCCCTCACCAATGCTCTCAGCTCCTCCCCCCTGTTGAGTGCCCCCCATTGCAAGCTGCTTACTATGGGGGTACTTGTGAAGGCTTGATCATGAGCCGTGCTCTGTGTGTCCATTGACACACAGAGTGCAGCTTGGCCCCGTCCCCTGCTCCCTCCTCACTGGCTGTGATCGAGAGCAGCGAGAGCCAATGACTTCCACTGCTGCCTCTGAGTCTGAGCCAATGAGGAGGGAGAGAGCCTTGGCTCTCATGCACGTTGCTGGATCTAGATTGGACTCAGGTAAGTATAAAGGGGGGGGGGGGCTGCATGCCTGAAGTTTTTTTTCAATTTTCATGCATAGAATGGCTGCAGGTACACAAACCTTCAGCATTTACATCCACTTTAAATCAACCAAGACTGTATAATATGAGGACCTGGCTATTCAATCTGTACCCGATCAGATGGTCTCATGCACTACACAGTATATTGGTAGATCTAAGTGACATCGTACAGTCAGATTGTAATATATGTGGTGGGTTGTGTGAATATGACACAGAAATGTATCCCTGTGTACAATAATCATGGTGCAGGTACATGCATGACATTACATCCACAGCCACAGCCAACACTGAGATGATGGACGTGGAGTCACCCTTTAACCACTGTAGTCATGGAGCAATGACTACCAAACCAGCCAATCCCGTCCCAGCATTTCACAGAAGGAAGCAGCACAAGGAGCAAGATGCTGATCGGCTCTCCCACAATGCTGTGCGGCAGGTAACGGCTTCCGGTGACAGAGAAGAGCCCGCATCTCCCCGGCTGATATGGAGGACAGAGCGGCGGATCGGGTGACGGAGGAGAAGCTGATCCTCTATCACTGGACTCATTCCTTCACCTCCCAGAAGGTGAGCGCAGCGCCGCAGGTTCAGCACCTGAGACGGAGGACAGCTCCGCGCCCTGCCTCCATATATTCCTGTATGGGCTCCGCGCCCGTCCCTCCCCCTCCACATATCTCTGTATGGGCTCCGCGCCCTGCCTCCACATATTCCTGTATGGGCTCCGCGCCCGTCCCCTCCCCCTCCAAATATTCCTGTATGGGCTCCGCGCCCGTCCCTGCCCCTCCACATATCCCCTGTATGGGCTCCGCGCCCGTCCCTGCCCCTCCACATATCTCTGTATGGGCTCCGCGCCCGTCCCTGCCCCTCCACATATCTCTGTATGGGCTCCCGCCCGCCCTGCCTCCACATATTCCTGTATGGGCTCCGCGCCCTGCCTCCACATATATCCTGTATGGGCTCCGCGCCCTGCCTCCACATATTTCTGTATGGGCTCCGCGCCCTGCCTCCATATATTTCTGTATGGGCTCCGCGCCCTGCCTCCACATATTTCTGTATGGGCTCCGCGCCCTGCCTCCATATATGGGCTTCCTGTATTCCTGTATGGGCTCCGCGCCTGCCCCTCCACATATCTCTGTATGGGCTCCGCGCCCGTCCCCTGCCCCTCCACATATCTCTGTATGGGCTCCGCGCCCATCCCTCCCCCCCCTCCACATATTCCTGTATGGGCTCTGCGCCCGTCCCTGCCCCTCCACATATCTCTGTATGGGCTCCGCGCCCTGCCCCTCCACATATTCTCTGTATGGGCGCGCCCGCCCCACATATCCCTCCGCCCCTCCTCCATATATTTCCTGTATGGGCTCCGCGCCGTCCCTGCCCCTCCACATATCTCTGTATGGGCTCCGCCCGTCCCTGCCCCTCCACATACCCCTGTATGGGCTCCGCGCCCGTCCCTGCCCCTCCACATATTCCTGTATGGGCTCCGCGCCCCCTGCCCCTCCACATATTCCTGTATGGGCTCCCGCGCCCGCCTCCACATATTTCTTTATGGGCTCCGCGCCCTGCCCCATATATTTCTGTATGGGCTCCGCGCCCTGCCCTCCATATATTTCTGTATGGGCTCTCCGCGCCCTGCCTCCACATATTCCTGTATGGGCTCCGCGCCCCCCTCCCATATTCCTGTATGGGCTCCGCGCCTGTCCCCTGCCCCCCTCCACATATCTCTGTATGGGCTCCGCGCCCATCCCTCCCCCTCCACATATTCCTGTATGGGCTCTGCGCCCGTCCCTGCCCCTCCACATATCTCTGTATGGGCTCCGCGCCCGTCCTTGCCCCTCCACACATCTCTGTATGGGCTCCGCGCCCTGCCTCCACATATTCCTGTATGGGCTCCCCGTCCCTGCCCCCCTCCACATATCTCTGTATGGGCTCCGCGCCCGTCCCTGCCCCTCCACATACCCCTGTATGGGCTCCGCGCCCGTCCCTGCCCCTCCACATATCTCTGTATGGGCTCCGCGCCCTGCCTCCACATATTCCTGTATGGGCTCCGCGCCCTGCCTCCACATATTCCTGTATGGGCTCCGCGCCCTGCCTCCACATATTTCTGTATGGGCTCTGCGCCCTGCCTCCATATATTTCTGTATGGGCTCCGCGCCCTGCCTCCACATATTTCTGTATGGGCTCCGCGCCCTGCCTCCACATATATTCCTGTATGGGCTCCGCCCTGCCTCCATATATTCCTGTATGGGCTCCCCTGCCCCTCCACATATCTCTGTATGGGCTCCGCGCGCCCATCCCTCCCCCTCCACATATTCCTGTATGGGCTCTGCGCCCGTCCCTGCCCCTCCACATATCTCTGTATGGGCTCCGCGCCCTGCCTCCACATATTCCTGTATGGGCTCCACTGTATGGGCCCTGCCCTCCACATATTTCTGTATGGGCTCCGCGCCCTGCCTCCACATATTTCTGTATGGGCTCCGCGCTGTGGCCGTGCCTCCACATATTCCTGTATGGGCTCCGCGCCCGTGGGCTCCGCGCCCTCCCCCTCCACATATCTCTCTATGGGCTCCACACCGCGTCCCTGCCCCTCCACATATCTCTGTATGGGCTCGCCGCCCTGCCTCCACATATTCCTGTATGGGCTCCGCGCCCTGCCTCCACATATTTCTGTATGGGCTCCGCGCCGTGCCGTGCCCTCCACATATTCCTGTATGGGCTCCGCGCCCGTCCCTCCCCCTCCACATATTCCTCTATGGGCTCCGCACCCGTCCCTCCCCCTCCACATATTCCTGTATGGGCTCCGCGCCCGTCCCTTCCCCTCCACATATCTCTGTATCCGGGCTCCGCGCCCTGCCTCCACATATTCCTGTATGGGCTCCGCGCCCTGTCTCCACATATTTCTGTATGGGCTCCGCGCCGTGCCGTGCCTCCACATATTCCTGTATGGGCTCCGCGCCCGTCCCTCCCCCCCTCCACATATTCCTCTATGGGGCTCCGCACCCGTCCCTCCCCCTCCACATATTCCTGTATGGGCTCCGCGCCCGTCCCTTCCCCTCCACATATCTCTGTATGGGCTCCGCGCCCTGCCTCCACATCTCTGTATGGGCTCCGCGCCTGTCCCTCCCCCTCCACATATCTCTGTATGGGCTCTGCGCCCGTCCCTCTCCCTCCACATATCTCTGTATGGGCTCCGCTCCTGGCCCTCCTCTTCCACCTATCCCTGTATGTGCTCTGTGCCCGGCCATCTTCCTCCACCTATCGCTGCATGGGCTCAGTGCCCGGCCGTCCTCCTCCACCTATCACTGTATGGGCTCCGTGCCTGGCCGTCCTCCACCGCCTATCCCTGTATGGGCTCTGTGCCTGGCCGTCCTCCTTCGCCTATCATTGTATAAGCTCCGCGCTTGGCCGTTCTCCTCCACCTATCGCTGTATGGGCTCCGCGCTCAGCCATCCTCCTCCACCTATCATTGTATGGCTCCGTGCTCAACCGCCTTCCTCCACCTATTGTTGTATGGGCTCAGTGCCTGGCTGTCCTCCTCTACCTATCACTGTACGGGCTTAGTAGTCCTTCCACCTATCCTGGCCATCCTCCTCCACCTATTACTGTATGGGCTCCGTGCCGGCCGTCCGTCCTCTCCACCTATTACTGTATGGGCTCCGTGCCCGGCCGTCCTCCTCCACCTATCACTGTATGGGCTCAGTGCCCGGCCATTTTCCTCCCCTATCATAGTATGGGCTCCGCTCCTGGCCCTCCTCTTCCACCTATCGCTGTATGTTCTCTGTGCCTGGCCGTCTTCCTCCACCTATTACTGTATGGGCTCCGTGCCCGGCCGTCCTCCTCCACCTATCACTGTATGGGCTCAGTACGCGGCCATTTTCCTCCCCTATACTAGTATGGGCTCCGCTCCTGGCCCTCCTCTTCCACCTATCGCTGTATGTTCTCTGTGCCTGCTGTCCTCCTCCACCTATCACTATATGGGCTCTGTGTCTGGCTGTCCTCCTCCACCTATCACTATATGGGCTCTGTGTCTGGCCGTCCTCCTCCGCCTATCACTGTATGGGCTCAGTGTCGGCCATCCACCTTCACATATCACTATATGGGCTCTGTGTCCGGCCATCCTCCTGTGTGAGGTGAGTGACAGGACATTATGCTGCAGGACATGGATGGAGGAGGCTTTTCTGAGCTCCATATAGATGATCTGTAGATGCTCTCCTAGCCCTGCCATTTGGGTTTTTCTTCTTAGCTCTCTCTTGTCATTTCATTTTCCTTCCTGGCCATTACACCTGGCCTTTACAATCACAATTACTGTGCTCCCTCCTTTCATTCACATTACATCCATTGATCTGTGCTGATCTGCATAAATCAGGGGTCCGCAACCCATCAATCATGTTCTACCTGCAGGCAGGTGATGGCTAGATCGTGCTTGTGTCCCTACTTTGCTGGCCCAGAACATAGTTACATAGTTAGTCTGGCTGAAAAAAGACAAATGTCCATCCGGTTCAACCATACAAAAAAAAATTATAATCCTACACCCACAGTTGATCCAGAGGAAGGCAAAAAACCCAGCAAAGCACGATCCAATTCGCTCCTGCACGGGAAAAAGATTCCTTCCTGATCCCCCAAGAGGAAATCGGATATTCCCTGGATCAAATTTTACATATAAATAGTAACCAGTTATATTTTGTGTATCCAAGAAAGAATCCAGGCCTTTTTTAAAGCAATCCACTGAGCTGGCCAGAACCAACTCTTGAGGGAGTCTATTCCACATTTTCACAGTCCTTACTGTGAAGAAACCTTTCCGTGTTTGGAGCTTACATTTCTTTTCCTCCAGACGTAAAGAGTGCCCCCTTGTCCTCTGTGATGACCTCAGGGTGAACAGCTCTACCCCGAGTTCACTATATGAACCACTGATGTATTTATACATGTTGATCATATCCCCCCTTAATCTCCTCTTCTCAAGAGAGAATACATTCAGTTCCTCTAATCTTTCCTTATAGCTGATCTCCTCCATGCCTCTTATCAGTTTGGTTGCCCTTCTCTGTACTTTCTCCAGTTCCCCAATGTTCTTTTTATGAATTGGTGCCCAAAACTGAAATACAAGAGAGCATTTTGCTCACTTTAGAAAACCGTAGCTTGACATTGCATGCCATTATTAAGCTTGTGATCTACCAGAACTCCCAGATCCTTCTTCACCATTGATTCCCCCCAGTTGTACTCCCCCTAGTATGTATGATGCATGCATATTCTTAGCCCCCAAGTGCATAACATTACATTTATCAACATTAAACCTCATTTGCCACATAGTTGCCCAATTAAACAGTGCATTGAGGTCGGCTTGTAAATTGAAGACATCCTATAAGGACGTTATTCCACAGCACAGCTTGGTGTCATCTGCAAAGACTGAAATGGGATTTTTAATCCCAGACCCTATATTGTTTATAAATATATTAAAAAGTAAGGGTCCCAACACTGAACCTTGGGGTACACCACTGACAACCCTAGACCATTCAGAGTATGAATCATTAACCACTCTCTCTCAAATATGATCTTTTAGTCAGTTTTCTCTCCAT